AGAACGAACACTTGGCGCTGAGACGAGAAAGCAGAAGGGCGAGCATGATGCAGACAACAGCCCATTTTTGACAGTGGCCGGTCAGGGCCTCGATAGGCGACCGGAGTCGTAAGACACACTCCTGGCGCTCAGCATATTAGGGGGTTAGCTGGCTCAAAATTGACTACAGAACCACTCTATCCTTCTCAAGAGTACAGCTAACTCACCCAGCTCACCGTGGAATGTGTCCTCGGAAGAAAAGGCAACATTGCGCCCTCGACATCTGTACTACTTCGGGCCTACAATTATAGACGTGAGCAAAAAAAACTTACCCATATTTAGCGAAATTCGTCCACATTCTTGTCGTCAATTCCAACATCTTTTTGTCGTCATGGTTGAACTCGTAATTCCAGATAATCCCCACAGCGAAGATGTAGGCCAACTCAGTGCAATGTGTTGCATCTGTGAAAATTTTTTAAGAAGTAGAAAAATGAAAAATGGTCGGCCAATTGCCAAGCAAATTCGCCCGAAAAAAAAAGATTACTCCGTGTATGAGCCAAATAAATGTATGGACCAAATCCCACGTAAACACCCCTTCGATCACGAATGGGAGTAGAATTCGTAGCGCATCCCAGAAACGATTGCATCAACGTCGAATGCCTTGTGCTTTAATAGAAAACCACCAAAGAGAGGAACTGTTGAAGAAGGTCGCATCAACAGCATGGATTTTTTCGATGCCAAGTCTTCCTTGAAATTTTCACCATAGTATGAGTCCACAAGTTATCCTCTGTCATTAACTTACCCCTGTATTTCCTTTCCATTTTAATATACCAGATTAGTCCCCCGTCAACCGCCGGGACCTTCCTTTCCTGCGCAAGCTTTCTATCCTCCGCTATGGTCCCTTCCTCCTGTGACACCAACACCTCGTGGAAGTGACGCGTATGCAACACAAATGGTGTTTCATATAGTAGAGGGCATCGCAATAATCATGACATGACGGTAGATTTTCCGCCTCCCTCCCCATCCTTCCTTCGTTTCTCCACAGCCCTCTCAGCAGTGCCCACTGCAGCACCATGTGGAATGACCAGAAGTGGTGTTTCACAGTCAACCTAGTTACAAACATTGACATAGACTAACTTTGCAAGAAGCTACCCGATTTTCAGCCGTTGTGTTTAACTCATTGAGCTCCCGTTAGCTGCTTCAAAGTTCCGCAAATCGGTGCCAGTCGGTGCCGACGGCGCGACGGCGCGACGGCGCGACCGCACCGACAGTGTGAAGAGCGTCAATACGCACTCTGGCGCATGACGCGAACGTTGGGCGCAGATCGCGTGCTCCGATCGATAATCCTGGTTTTGGTGTATTCTTGTGCTTTTCGATGTTTTTTTTTTCGCGCCGTGTTGCTTTAATTCGTGTGTTTCCTGTTCATACTTATTCTTTTATGGGCGCAATGTGGCTCGGGGGGGGGGGGGAAGTCGGTGCGCGGCTCAGCGATGTAGTGTAACTCGAACATTCCAGCTTTTCACGGGACATTTCAGCTTCTCGCATGCTAAGTGACTGCCCTCACCCCCACCCCCCCCTGAATTGGCTACACTCCCCTGGCTTGCGAATTTCCTGTTGCCGCAACGCCCCGCGCGGCGGCTGCCCCCCCCCCTCCGAGCCACATTGCGCCCTTTTATGTCTTGATTAATACTTTCCAGTTGTTCCGCGGGCGAGCGACGTCGTGAACCCGCACAACTCCGGGTGGATGTGGCCATACCGGGTGTGTTGGTCGTAAGCAATTTTGTTTATTCATATGAAGTGAGTGCAAAAAACATCGAAAAAATACAAGAAATACACCAAAACCAAGATTATCGACCGGAGCGCCCCATCTGCGCCCAGCGCACGCGTCATGCGCCAGAGCGCGTGTTGACGCTCTTCACACTGTCGGTGCGGTCGGCGCCGTCGGCACCGTCGGCACCGACCGCACCGATGCGAACTATGAAAGCAGCCTTAGCCGGATGAGCATGTATTTAATCCTCTAAGATGAAGGATGAAGCGGTCGCATTGACCGTTCCTCTGAGATGCGCTACGTACTCACTATCGAGAGGAGGTCAATAAGCGCTTCTCGGATGACTTAAAAGGCGCAAGGGGAAAAAAAAAGCGTGCGAGTTTCTTCCCAGAGGAGGCGTTTAGGGTCTCGACGCTGTTGACTCGTGGCGGGCTCCGTCCACTCGCTCAACGCTTCGTGCCGCCTCTGCTACCAATGGTCCATTACTGGAGCTAAAACCAACGGCAAAATCACCTTTTGAAGGCCACGCCATGCGAGCGGTCCCCAATCTTTTAGGGTTGGAGAGTAATCGAAGGAAATTAAAAACTCCACACGCGAGCATCATTGCTTCAATGTCGTCAAAGGGGGGCGTCGTATTGCTAGCTGCAAGCTTCACGAAAAATCAGCCGAGGACCGCTGGAAAAGATCGAATGAGTCAGAGAAAATACATGCCACGATTGCGAAAGCCAAAGAAAGCGAACAAACCTCGGCTAAGGCTCGTGTCACCTCAAGAGTAATGGCGGGATTTGAGACTAGTTTCTCGAAAACTTCCTCTCGCAACTTCTTGAACGTGCGAGGGTACTCCTTCTCAGGCACAAGTTGCGAAACATAATTCATAATCGCACTGACAGAGTGGTGCTTTCCAAACCCTACTTAAAAGAGAAGCATAAACTTCTTTGGAGTATTGGGTAGTATGACACTTTGTTAAACAACACTTAGGTAAACACATTTTTAGTATGTAGCCCTAATGACGGCAACAATTCTTTTTTAAAACACAGAAATGTATTCAGGATAATTTTCTCCCTTACGGCGCGCGCCTAAGTTAAAAGGACGAATTCACGCTGGAAAGCAACCCATTTCAAATTAACTAGGGATGGTGAGTGGTACACGAAAGAAGGAAAAACCATGAGAAACGGCCCAGAACCCGAGAAATGGGACCCCTTCCTTGCCCGTTGATTTGCGCATTGATGCGACTCTCATCGCTGTGCCCTCTTCAACACTACGCTCTCTCACCTATCTAATCACTCGCCACGTATAGACCTGCGGCGAGTGATCAGATGATCGGTGGGCGTGCACTGGCCAACCGCGCCAAGATTGAGCCATAATAGGTCGCCGAGGTCAAATTTTCGGTGCCAATTGCGCGTCAGTTCGCACCCTCAGGAGGTCCGTGGGTCCCTCAACTAGGTGAATTACTCCTTCTTCGACCTTCATTCTAATCGTGAATTCCTCCTTTAAGCGCGGCTTCACTGCACTAGATGAGCCAAACTCACGTTCGACGGAACTGCACGCATAAAAATATAATACAAGCATAACCAGGCAGAACCCAGGTGAAGGATTCCCTTTGGTTTGTATGATAGAGCTTTAAGGACAGTCACAGAAGTAGCTTCGCTGTGCATGGAAATTGTCCAACAAGGGCATTGGAGCTTTGCGAAGACAGCTTCAACAGCTTCAAATTCCCACGTCTGCGGCAGGATATTTTCTAGCGCCCCCTCACCCGTTGCGCTAAATCGCCTCATGAATTCCCTCTCTAGCGCTCATTCTCTCATTGTCTCAGCACAGCTGCCCTATGAAGGTGAGCAAGCCCTTAACTTCAGAGTTTCCAACATATGCTTTTTTCTCTGATGCTGGCCCAATTCGCTCCTATAAATTCGTATTCATGTGCGGGAACCGCAACAGGTTGGTCCAACGGCACGCCTTCATAAGATTCCTAGGGAATTTGGGCTTGGTCTGAATCTTATGCCAAACTTATGGAGTAAAAGTTTAAGGTTTTTTGTATACAGCGATATTTCAACGCACGTTCCATAAGTGGATAAAAGATTTTTGCATTCGAAAACAAATGTAGTCGTGGTAACTGCCTAATCAGTGACGAGAAAGAGCAAAACAATTTTAAACTACTAATTTTCGCAGGGGCGTGGCTCAAATCCCGCTTCTCGACATGCGCGCAGTACGTAGCAATGATGGCGAGTTTAGCCCCCTTCCTTTACTGCTGAGCCGATCATCACAAGCACTTCTATTTTTGAACATAAGAAGTTACAGCTATTTGGTCGTGGAATGTGCCTTTAACTCCAGAATTAGGATTACACACAGCACAGTACTGAGAGAAGTAAGCTGAAGGCTCAAATTCTAATATATCGGACCAAAGCTCGAAAACTTACAGAACATAAGGCCCTCAGAAGCAGAGCACCCTATGAGCATTGGTTTCGCCGGCGCCTCCTTCCGCAACTCACTGACACTCTGAATAATAGATTTACAGACATGGGTGCATCGTAAACTCCCCGCATAAATTGCTTAGCCAAACCTTTGGAATGAAATCAAAGTCGAGACGTGGACCAGACGCACAACTACTTGCCACACTTGGCTTCTCCATATTTTCCATCAATGACAGCGCGAACTTGGAACATGGCAAGCCTCTAAGAGCGTCGACCATCTGGAAGTGGAAGAATGACTTTGTTTGCGTTCAGAGGAGGTCTGTATAAAGCGAGTGGGCACCAACAGCAAGCCACTGGTGGCGAGCGGACTTTGTGACGTCATTGGACGTCCATTGGTGCACCACTCAATCGAGAACGCTCCGCCCTCGAACCACTGCCTTTGTCCATGCTTTCGAATAGTGATCAACTTATTGTGCGACCACAAATGGAAACAAAGTAGCGCTCCGAAAATACGGCAATACAAGGCTTCCTGTTTTGGCAAACATCAGTACGAGAAGATGGTTCGAGAAAGTGCCATGACGAAAAAGTGGACGCGCCGAATAGTACCAGATTAAAAGAAACCCAGGCACAGCCACCTACAAGGCGTGAATCGCTTATAGGGAGGAACTGTTAGCGATATACAGTAGCGGTAAAACAGTGTTCGCCAAAACGGTTTCCGTGCTTCTCCTTTTTTTGCCGGAAAAACCAATGGTGACCTCGGAAAAATTTTTCTTTTGAATATTCTGATTCTTTAAGACTTGAGGATATAAAAACACTAGAAAACATAGTGTATCAATCTTTGGAGAGCGTTGGCTCGAAAAAATAATGCACTAAAAATCGTTTCGGCGAACACTTTTGATCGCTACTGTAACTGTTACGCGGCTCTTGGAGCCCAGCAAAAATGCTATTAAGTATGCGTGCTGTGATGGACAGGCTACCTCAACAGCGGAAAAGATCACGCTGAGTGCGATGAAGGGTGAAGCCACTCAATTTGTGATTGGAACGCGCCACGCACTCTACATCTATACAAGAATCGTTAGCATTGCATGCGGGACTTTGGCCAACGACAAAGCGACCCTGTACGAAGCCAGCTGACGTCATGTCAGGCGATTTCTACTCCCCTAGACAAAGTCTGATACCAGTACGCGCCACCAAACATTAAAGGAGACTCGGTTTACGGTATGGGCGTACCAATCCACCGGACATTAAAGCCGTGATCAGGATTAGGCAACCAGCAGAAGTTCTTCCCAGGGTGCGATAGTGGGCTCCCCAAGCACTGAGGGCGCGACACTATCGCGACCCAAAAGTGCGCGGCAATGGCGCTAAGGCCTTGCCCGCCGCGCTGCCCGCGCTGCCAGCGTAATCCACCACGGCATACGTGGTCTCTGCGTCCTCTCGCGTACGACGTACTATCTCGCGTTCTCCCTCTCCTCGCAGCGCTGTGTCTCTCCGTCGTACTACGGCCGGCCTCCTAAGGGAAATTTAGTGTTTTCTATGGTGCTTTTTGCTTTTTCTCCTCACTAATGTTCCTCATTGCACCCCTTGCCTAATGTTTGAACAAAATAACGCATCAATTCAATCCTGACTCGTGCCTTTAATCTTGACCATGTTATTAGATAGCAGCATCGCCATCACTAGAAACTAACCACTTCCGCCTCGAGAAATTATACAACTGAGGTAATCACGGAATGCGGAACCTATACTATTACCCGCTTGAGGCTTAGGATGTGCTTGAATCGTCTAACAGGGCATAATCTTATTTTGTGCCGCTCCGTCACCCCTCCTCACGGGGCGAACATTCCAGAACAAATATCAACCTTTTTGGAGTCGCGAGTTTCGTGAATGCCATTTCGCTCAGCAAACTTCCGACTTTCTTCTACCATATCGTTGTGCATGGCCCATGAACAGCTCGCATTTCCTGCCATGGGAACTACCTTGTGAAAGAGATCTAAAAAAAACTATTCCACGACTGGTTCGATTCAAAGCAAACAAACTGAAAATTGAGGCTCGGAGGTCATTTCACCCATTAAGATAGATTTAGCAATTTCGTAACACAGTTCTAGCTTTATTGCAACCTTTCTGGCCCTGTCCGCTTTCATTGCTTCAAGTTTACGTAGTTTCCCTCACAACTGCTTGGACCGGGGGGGGGGGGGAGAATTTGGTTACGATTAGTCGAATTCGGAAAGAGAGAACTCCCCTACTCTTCAGTGAAGCTAAATGCCTGCCCAGACGACGTTCAGTGCGTTTAGCGACGAAAGTAATTTAGCACAGTGGCGACCCTCCGAGAGCGGTTCTCCGCCGCTCACACGCCTGGGCTCAATCCCTTCTTCACGCTTGCGCGGCTTCTTGCCATAGTTGTTTTATTTATTCTGTAAACACAGTAACCTAGACTACATAAAGACATGTGTTCCAATATGAATCAAACATGGCAGCTTCCAGCTGAAAGTATAGCATGTCGTGGACAAAGGCAGTGCATCAACGAGATGGCAGTTGTCCTATCAAATGTCACTAATTTACAACTAACATTTATCAACTTCCACTTGACCATGTACTTCCAATCAGATTCATTTTGAGGTCGTCGTCACTTGTGTTGTTGAGTCTGTATCGCAGAATTCCCTGGCCGCCGATAGAGTAAATAGATAAACAACGCGAAGCAATGTGTGCTTTAGGAAATTTCGTATAAGGGAATCCCAAGTATTCAAATATTTCTAGAAGAAGTAGAAAACGATGAATGCCAGACCTGTCTCGAAATTACGGGCCTGTAAACTGGAGAGCGTGATCTGGTCGGTCTTTCTACCACAATTACGTTTGCCATGCGGAAGGAAATAAAGCGCAAACTCGCTCTAAAACGAAAAAAAACGCCAAAGTGTTTTGCCTCCTAATTGTGCCCGAAACCCTTTTTTTCTTTTTGATGCTCTTCCAGTAAGGGGCGGGTGGGGAAGACACTGTGGTGCAACTGTCACTTTCGCCTGAAGTGATCAAATTTTTCCTAGTGGAAGGAAGCTTCAGAGTGGGTTTGAATGTGAAAGCGGAATGGTGCTGCACCCAAACCTCCTTCCTCTGCAAGAAATCGGACGACCACACGCGGCATAAGTCACTGCGCGAATGCCCACCCACACCTTTCTGCCCCCTTGCGAAAAAAAGAGAATAGAAAAAATAGAAAAGATGAGCCTGTTCCGGAGCTCACATTTCTAGCATGCTTTCAGACGGGGGCAAAAAGAACAATGGAAAATTCTCTGATGACTGACCTCTCGAATGAGGGCAGATGCTCAACAGATCGACACAGGCTCCACCAGCAGATTGGCCCATGACTGTCACGTTATTCGGATCGCCATTGAAGAAAGCAATGTTTTCCTAGACAAGGAATCGATTTCCAACTTTTGCTCAAATAAAAAATCGAACAAAATATTAAATAAATAATGTATTCAAATATTCTCAAATATTTAAGAAAGACCGGTTCCTACCCCTATCCATTGGTTAGGTTAAGATGAAGACAAATTTCTCGAAAAGGGCGGTATTACAGATTTTTTTCTTCAACTATCTTTCTTACAATAAAGGTGGTATAGCGACAAGCAGACAGCCTACCACGTGCACTGTACAAAGATCAAATCCCGCACCAAACCTACGCTAGTCAATTTAGTCTCCTATACACCAGGGTCGGTTAATTGATATTAGCCTTGTTTGTAGAAATCAAAACACTGCTCTGCATATCGTTTGGAGGTGCGGTTTGAATGACATCATTAAAAATCCTTGGTGGAAGGGCGTTAAGGGGCGGTCCCAACCACATTCCACCACACTGCATGGTCTTTGACACGAAGGCGTTCGATGACGTCATGAAAAGCGCCAAGCGCCTCCCTCCTGCCATCGCGATCACTGCTTTTCAGTATCCTTAGAAGTATAACGTTAGGCCGATGTCAGACTTTGCGAATCGCGCGATTCGCGCGATTCGCTAGCGTCCGCGGTCGCGTTGCGGTACCAGCCAATTGAGTGATTCACTGGCCGCGACGCGACCGCAGACGCTAGCGAATCGCGCGATTCGCAAAGTCTGACATCGGCCCTAA